TTTCTATGGCGTCTGTGGACTTATTCTCCAGAGCTAGGATATTCGTCTTTGCTACGAACTCGATTTCTAAATGATCCCAGCTAGAACGCGGCTGAGGCAACTCCCGGTGCGCGCGAGCTGAGAGTACTATGGATTCGACGGACCCCGGTCCGTCGCAGGACACCCCCGATCATGGCATTACGCAAGCGCCGACTCCCCGAGACGACGACAACACCCCATTGTCCGAACAAGCGACTACGGGATCTACATCTTCTACTGGCGGTGACCACAGCACCGTTCTCGATGAACGGCCACCGCCTCTTCCCCCGCGCCCAGGCACATTGAATCTGTTGGACGAAGGAGGGGCATCTCTTCGGGTACCACGGCAGCCTGCACAACCAGCTCTCCAGTCCAGGGCTACAACGGCGGTATCTCTCCCAGATGTTGCTTCGCAAGATACAGGAAAGGATACTTTGGCTGTGCGCAATTTACAAGGCGCACTGAAGGCTAAGGCCAGCCTCAGCCACTTAGCCAGCCCAAGAGGAAGCGAAGCTGGCGATACTGCTAGTATCAGGAGCACAATACCTCAAGGAGATCTAGGCGATGTCGATAATGTCTTCGGTGACTTTCTGGCAACGGAGCCTGGGCTTATCCGCCAGCCTAACACGGGACTCTTGCAATTCCCGGAGTTTCAAGCTGACGACGTAGAAGACGATTTTGCCTCGGAGTTTGAGCCAGTTGGAGACGTTGGCGAAGAAGGGGAGAACGAAGGTATGCATAGCTGGCAGATAACGGTCCTTACGTTCGCTAACCAACAAAACCGTGCAGAACTGGTTCTGGAAAATTGGAAGTCGAAACGCAAACACTACATTATCCTCTCAGCTGCTGGCAAACCGATATGGACGCGACATGGTGACGGTGGTCTGATATCGACCTATGTTGGCGTCATCCAGACTATCATCTCGTTCTATGAAGATTCCAAAGACCGCCTAAGCAGTTTCTCTGCCGGTGATACCAAGTTCGTGGTGGTCAACAAGGGGCCTTTGTACCTGGCTGCGATCAGTCGCATGCTGGAGAGTGAAACGCAGCTCAAACTTCAGTTGGAAGCCCTGTACATGCAAATCTTGTCTACTTTAACCCTTCCATCCTTAACCCACCTCTTCTCTATCCGCCCTTCTACCGACCTCAAGCGGCCCCTTCAAGGCTCTGAGACGCTTCTTTCTACGTTAGCCGACAGCTTTACGAAAGGCTCCCCATCCACACTACTTTCCGCATTAGAATGTCTCAAGATCCGCAAATCTCATAGGCAAGCGATCAATAACACTCTCCTAAAGACCAAGGTCAACGGCCTTCTCTATGGCTTGGTCGTCGCAGGTGGTCGGCTTGTCAGTGTTGTCCGGCCTAAGAAGCATTCTCTGCATCCGGGCGATCTGCAGCTGCTTTTCAACATGATCTTCGAAGCCGAAGCTGTTAAAGCTGGTGGTGGCGAGAGCTGGATTCCCGTGTGCCTGCCAGGCTTCAACAGCAGTGGGTACCTCTACATGTATGTCAGCTTCCTCGATCTCCGAGAGGACTCTGGCAATACTGCCGACGACACAACCACGAAAGAGGAGTCTGTTGCTATCATCCTGATAAGCGCCAATAAGGAAAGCTTCTTCGAGTTGCAAGGCATGCGCGATGCATTCGTCGAGGTTTGTGACCATGCCTCTTATGAAAACATGCCAGCAAGCTAACCAACTACCTTAACTCACAGCAACTAGAGAAGAATGGCAGTCTCAAAATCATCAGAGAAGCCGTTGACAAGGGCCGCCCCAGCACAACAGACATAGTTCCAGGGACCGTCCTGCACCACTTCCTTTACAAGTCACGGGCCAACGTACAATTCACAATGTCCGCGTATGACCCCGAATTTGCCTCCGTATCCCGACGTCGCAGGTACGCACAACCCTTTATTCTCGCTTCCACCGACTATGTCATTATATCTCATATACTGATGATGGCAATGTCTCCAGGCTGATGTCCACCTATAATAACCTACATGCAAGCATCCATGCCAAGCACACCCATGTCAAGATCCACCACTGTGTCTCGCAATCCTCGAGCTCATTTGCATGGGTAACACCCATATTCGAATTCTATTGCGTGGCAAATGCAAATGCAAACCGCAATGCATTAGCACAGAGCGCAAGCAAGATAATAGAATGGGTGCATCAAGAAGAGGAGAGACTCTTCATTATAGGCGGTGCGGTGAGTTATGCAACGGCTCCTTATACCAGTTGAGGACAGTGACTAACAGTCGGTTACCAGGTATTCTAATCATTTCTGGCCCTGCATTGATAGAGGTATATACAGCTTTCCTTGAAATATGTTCTGGTCAAAGACCCCTAGTACAAACAAGCCAAAGTACATCAGATATCATCTCAAGCTAAGGCTACACAATACTTTCTACTATGACCAAGGTACACCTAATGCATTTATACACAATACCATGCATATCATGATCCAGAAACCAAGATCCATCCCTCTAATCGATGGTATCCTCCCTCAGAGCAAACAGCTGCTGAATAAGCTCATCCGACTTGCTGCGAATGGCATTATGATACATAACATTCGTGATGAACTGCTTGGCACCCTTGATCTTGGCCGCGGTATTCTGCGCATGATCAAAGTGGACATACATATCATCTATGTATGTGGCTGCGTAGACAGGAACCTCGTTCCGTGCTAGCTGGGCTTCATCATAAAGCGCCGGCCAGTCATCCGTCGAGGCGAGGATGTCGGCCGCATCTCGAACCTGGCTGAGTTCCGTGTAGGAGTCGAACATGTCTTTGTAGACCTGTAATCATGAGAGTTAGTATTGTTGATTTGGTTGACGTTCAGAAGAAGAAGGTTGGGGTACATGCCATTTCACCAGTGAAGAGGATCTCAGACTTGTTGGCGTCGATTTGGAAGTCCGGGTTAGAGGCGCGTAGTCTATCTGCGGACCAGTTGGAAGGTTTACTGTCATGGCGATGTTGTTAGCTCGTGAGAATATAAGTGGGGTAATGTTGGTAGTGACTTACCCCTGGCAGTAGATAGCCTCATGCAGAATAGCGTAGATGATGTTGTTGTCCATGCCGCCGAAACTATCAATAGAAGTGAGAGTGGGATGGGTGAGAAAGCCGAAGACGTCTAGGTCGTTCCAGGCACGTAGCACGAGATCTATGTCGTGTTAATGAGGGTTAAAGATATCGGTTCCGGGACCCATTACCATGGATGCTATCAAGACCACCTGTGGGATGTTAGTAAGAAGGATCGGAGAACAATCGCTTCAGAAGTCCTTACCGTGCATGCCAAACAGGATACCCATTTGCTGGAATCGCTCCGGGGTCAATGTTCCTGTTGGCAGAGCGACCTCGTTGTCTTTCAGGTATTGGATAATTTGCTTGACTCTTTCGACGTCTTCGGGGAACTTGGCGTAGTATGCCTTGTTCCTTTCGATGACCTTTTCTGTACGGGTTTAGCTCACCATGCACTAAATGTGTCAAAGTAGATTGCTTACCGTATGTACGTGCATACACAGGGTCGGGGTTATCAACGAGAGGAGGAAGTCCACCGCAGATGAAAGCCTCAGCGAGACCTTCCGGGCTTGTGGTAGAATAGCTAGATTAGTATACGGCTGAGACCATCTTAAGACGAGGCTAGACATACAACATGGAAAGATAGGTCACGGCGCAGAAACCACCAAAGCTTTGGCCAATGATGCTCCATTTCCGCTTGTCCTCGGGGTAATCGGTCATCAGACAACGGCGAACAGCCTCGCAGTCACGCACAATGTTGTCTGCGCGGAAGTTCTTCATGTACTCTGCTTGTTTGATGGCATTGCCTTGCCGAGCAAGGGTGCCCGCTGTGACGGTGGAACTAAGACCGGTGCCACGTTGATCGAGGAACAAGACCTATTTGGTGAGAAAGGAACCCTTAAAATATACTACTGTTCAGTGGGTTTATTTACCTGATAACCCTTTTCGAGGACTGTTCCAATCCAGCCATACTCTTGCGGGGGGCGGCATCCCATTCCAGGGCCACCCTGCAAGTACACCAGGAACGGCAACTGCTTGTCGTCCTTGGGGGTCTCGCTTGGCTCAGCAGGCGTTACCAGACGACGTACACTGCGGGCAAACAGTCTCAGAGTGCCATCATTGGGCTTGTTGTAATTGAGAGGCACATCGAAGAACAATTCAGCCACCCGGAGCCTGCCTGGATAACCCCACCTGTCATTAGCGTGACATTTTTCCCTAACCCGGGAAGCCATACGCACCGGGAACATTATGGAAGCGCCGATCGATCAACTTGGCAGCCATTGTCGTGGCACTCTTAGCTATGGGGTCTATGGGATTGCGGATGTCTTGAATTCCCTACGAAGCGAATTGAGGTGGTGTGACGGGCAGATGGGCAGATGGGTCCAACTGCCGCCGGCGGAGGTCTGCCAGCCATTTACTAGCCTCCGCTTTGGGAGAAGCTGTAAACTGTAACGGTATCTTCTCCTCACAATACGGTATGCTGAGCCGCGATTAAGCTTCCCGTCAAAATCACTCCTTTTAGTACTAGGATTTGTTTGTTCTCCACCATTTCTTATGCAGTTTCGCGCTTCGGAGATAACCGCACCTATCATTCGCTCCCTGCATAATTGAAGTCAGAAACTACTAGCGCTGAGCCGACGCACTGCAATAGTGCTGCCTGTTTTACTGCCTTAGCTGCCCCATAACGCTGTTTTAGTGACTAGCACTGTCATACCCAGTCTTGGAGATCCTTGCAGCATATTTGACGACTCTGCTCCATACAGCAAGTCCAGCCGGTACTGTATTCTGAGTCACGTACACCAATCCGGGTACTACTTGCAACCACAAGACGATTTTCTTACAAGTATAAGACTGGAGCTGGATATATCTCATTCAATCACTGTATCAGCCAAGTCCATCGCTTTTATCTTTGATTGTATACCCAATTCGTTCATTGACTGATTTTAAGACACAACTCACGCAATGGACCTAAGAGATATCAAAGGGACCTCCCAGGAGCAGGGCCAATTACATCAGAAGCTATGGGAACTTAACCAAACATATACACCAGGGAACGTATTGCCTAGTGCTAGTGACTTATCGCGAGCCAGAGCATCCCTACCAGAATTTCTCCCTGCTGAAGGAACGGGATTCGAAAGTGCCACCCAGCATATCCTTAATGACTTGGTCCCAGCCTTCAATCGCAGCAGCATAAGTCCTAATTATTACGGATTTGTCACCGGAGGCGTTACCCCGGCAGCCCTATTTGCAGACAACCTGGTCACAGCTTACGATCAGAATGTTCAAGTGCACCTTGCAGAGCATTCTATATCTACAGACGTTGAAGCCACTGCTCTCGGTCTGCTTTCCGATCTCCTGAAACTGGATCGGCGCAGCTGGAATAACGGGACGTTTACCACTGGGGCCACAGCCAGCAATGTTCATGGATTGGCTTGCGGGAGAGAGTTTGTCCTCCGCGCTGCTGCCAAGAAGAGTGGAATCGATATTGAAAGCGTTGGTGAATATGGCTTGTTCGAAGTCATCCAAGCTACTGGACTCTCTGGTATCCAAATTCTCTCGACTATGCCTCACTCTTCGTTGGCAAAGGCCGCTGGAATCCTTGGCATAGGCCGTGCCAACGTTAAGAGCATTTGTCGGGATAATCATTACCTTCAGATCGACTTTGGACGACTTGAAGCGGAACTGAAAGCCAATAAGGCGAGTATCGTCGCTGTCTCCTGTGGAGAGGTCAATACTGGACATTTTGCGACGTCAAGCTTGGCTGAAATGAAAAGCCTGCGTAGCCTCTGTGACAAGTACGGGGCCTGGCTTCATGTCGATGGTGCTTTTGGAATCTTTGGCCGGATTTTGAACGGTGCCGAATTCTCTGCTATATCAAAGGGGTGCGAAGGTATGGAGCTAGCAGATTCGATCGCAGGTGACGCTCACAAATTTCTGAACGTGCCATATGACTGTGGCTTTGTCCTTTGTCGCCATCCTGGTGAGGCTGAGAAGGTTTTCCAAAATGCAAATGCGGCCTACCTGTCTGGGGGCCAGTCTGGAGCGCTCTCAATACCTTCTCCACTAAACATCGGTATGGAGAATTCGAGACGATTCAGAGCGCTGCCGGTGTATGCCTCACTATTGGCATATGGCCAGGTTGGGTATCAGGAGATGCTACAGAAGCAAGTCCGGCTTAGTCGAATGATTGCAGGCTGGATATTCGATCATCCCAAGTACAATGCTTTGCCAGAGTTGGCAAGCAAGGATGAGTTGCTAGACCAGACCTACATCATAGTGCTGTTCAGCGCAAAGGACGACGAGTTGAACGGCAACTTAACCAAGGAGATAAATGCGACTTCTAAGCTTTTTGTGTCTGGAACCTCCTGGCAAGGAAGACCGGCTTGTCGCATCGCAATCTCAAACTGGAGGGTGGAAGAAGAAAGGGACTTTGCACTTGTGACAGATGTCTTGGACAACGTGGCTGGAAAAGTATAGAGATATGACACGGTTGGACTTATGCTTGATGTCTGCTTTCATTGTACAATTTAATCTTAATATATACTAGCTATGCTTGTAATTGGAGGTTGAGGTTGTTCCACTTCATCGCTTTTGCAGACTTAGTGACATTTACCAGATATCACTAAACACCCCAGTTGTGCAATGAGTACTTTGTTTACCATTACCCGATGGAAGACCAATTAGAATTTCGCCACATAGTAGTTCGTACGTACTATTCGTCTTTGCTCTCCAATGTCTTTTTGCCCATTGTTAGATTCCATGGATGGCGATGCGATGACTAATCTGACATGATCATCTGCGAGACAAATGCTCCGGCTCTTCTCTCCTTCATAAGCCTGCTGGTAACCCGGCAGCCTGGTGCCGTAATGATAAGGTTTTCTTTGCATCAGTCATAATGGTATATCGCGGGAGGCCTTCCAAATCGTGCCGGGAGTGCCGCAAACGAGATATCAAAGTATGATGATTCCTACTCTTCGACTTCATGACTGAGCCAGGCTCACACCTCTCACTAGTGCGATAAAAAAGAAGATGGCTGCTCCCAGTGTTCCCGCGCTGGCCTAACATGCTCTGGTTACCAGAAGTCAACAGATTTCTTGATACTTGATGAGACCTCTGCTACGGCTGGGAGAGTACTGAGGAAGCGCTCTTTAGATCATCCAGTTTCTTCAGGGCCTCTATCAACGAACCTTCTCCCGACAGTATTACAACGCCCAAAACACCTTTATATCTCGCAATATGTGCAAGGCACACCTGCAACGGGCATATACTCATATATGCAGGTCTTTTACCCATCCAAGTCAGACGACTATCCTCTTCTCGAAACCATGATCAATGCGCTTTTCATGGCCACGTTCTCGTCGCTGCAGGGATATCCCCCAGCTCTCTATCATGCTCGAAACAGCTATGGATCAGCTTTGTCTCTGACTCGAAAGGCGATCCAGTCACGAAAAGAGGCTTTGTTGGATAGGACTCTGTTTTCGGTGTTGCTCATGAGTATATTTGAACGCCTCGCCGAAGTAGAACAACGAGGGTTATACATTCGCAACGGACATCTAAAAGGTGCCATTGAGCTGATGGCCTTGAGGGGGAATGGCCAATTTACAGACGATGGGGGCGCTAAGATGTTTTTGCATCTAACCGAGCTTGTTGTTCTTGATTGCCTTGCCAATGAAGCTGATATTCCACTTCAATTCTTGGCATTGCGACAGCAAGCTCTTGAAGCCGGTGCAGACACATCGTCACCAAGGTGGACATTCTTGGAAATCATGATGCGTTATGCACAGTTGGAGCGTTCCGCAATATCTTCCATCTCTGCGGAAGACGTCATTCATCAAGCTAAAGCACTTGACGAAGATCTTGATCGATTGTCCAACTGTCTGCCTTCTTTCTTCTCGAGGAGGCAGAGCCCTGAACCCCCAAGCATTCCGTCAGCCAAGCCGGACATATATCCTGACTATAATACACAGAGGTGCTGGAACAACATCCGGGTTCTCCGTATTCAGCTACTGAAACTTATACGCGAGCAATATGCTCGGGTGTTGGGAAATTCGGCCAATGACGCCTGGGCCATGGCCGGACTTCATGAGTCTAACCGCCGAGTGCATTCCCTTGCTACAGACATATGTCTCTCCATACCTGGTACAGGGGCTAACAGCAGGCTTCCTTATGAGGTCTCCAATATCCAATCGGTAACACTCTTATTTCATCTATATGTGGCCAAAGAGGTTTTAGTAAAGCCAGCTCAATCAAGGCTGTATATTCATGAGCGATTACAATTCGTGAAAGAGAAGCAAGCTCCTTCACAGCATAAGACACTGGATTATTTGCTACATGATGGTTATCAAATGCCGCGAAACACTTGGAAGATGTGGCTTTCAATAGGAAGAGAGGATTTTTCTATCTGATTCCGGGGTCGTTCCACCTGCATTTGCCCGGCCTAGTACTCGTTCAGCTTCATTGCCGCAGGTGGAAACCTCTCCCCTGCGACTGGATACTTCTCCTGAAGGACTGCAATCTGTGCAAGGTCATCATCAGTCAAGTCGACATCCTCCACGTTCTCAATAACCCTGGATTCAGATCTCGCACCCGCAACCGGGACAAAAAGCGGCATGCCAGGCTTTCTGCTCTGCGCTTTAACCCACGACAAAGCCAACTGAGCCGGAGTGCACCCCTTCGCAACCGCAATCTTCTCCAGCTCATCAACAAGCAGACGGTTCTTCGCAAGATTTTCGGACTGGAATCGAGGAAAGAACCGATGATGATCGTGCGCCGGCAAGTCATCAGGGCTTTTAATCGTGCCAGTCAACATCCCCGCTCCCAGTGGTGTGTGCGCTATGATGGGGATACCAAGCTCTGCGCACGTCTCTGCGACCCCATTACGGAAAACATCCATAGCCCATAGGCTCACCTCCGCCTCCAGCATATCAATCTTCGCAACGCTCGCCGCACGGCGAATAGTCTCGGCTCTCACCTCCGACAGTTGAATACCCCCAATCTTACCCTCCTCCTTTAACTCAGCTAGTGCCTTGATGCTCTCTTCAACTGGAACATTGGGATCAACTCTTGCACAGCCGAAAATGTCGATTTTCTTCTTGCCGTCCAGGACCTTGAGAGCGTTGTCCACGAAGCCGCGAAGTCCGGCAGGAGAGCAGTCCATAGCGAAGGTCTTCATGCTCGCAACGCCGGACTTGATCGAAAGGACTACCTTGTCTGCGTCTTCAGGATAAGCTGTGAAGTAGCGATTCATGAGGTGCAATGAGTTGTTTTCGGGTGTCCCGTAGAAGTCTGCTCCATTCCATACATTGACGCCGGCTGCCAGTGCTGCCTTGAGAACCTTGAATGCTTGTTTATCTGGTGTCACGTCGTCTGACAAGGTGAAACCTGCGATATGCTTTCATCAACATATAACCTTCTATAATGATATTTCAAGTACCAGACAAGCCCCTGGACCAAAACAAACACACAAAGCAAAGAGAAGGGAACGAGGGAGAACTCACGCATAAGCCCCAACCCATTCTGGGTGATTTCCTTTCCAGCGAGGAACGGCATCGCTAGTAACTAGTAATGAAGAATAAAATTCGGCCAGATGTATCAACAAGAAGCCGAATAGTATGTCTGACGCTTGAAAGCAAAGCAAAGCAGGCTGGCAGGTGTATAGTATAGTATAGTATCCAGAAAAGGAAAACCTCGCAGCTAAACTACTCAGTATTCTCCCTGGTGCTATCGTAACAACCAAACCCCTCATTATTAAAGATTCACCACCCTTTATATACTCCTGATCCTCAGCCATCATATTCTACGACTTCCGGAGATAATTTGCGTGTAAGTCCCTCCATCCCCGGCGTTTACGAGTAAAGTCCGGGAGTATGCCGTCATGACCAGTTGGTTACCTGATTAGGTTTAGTGGATTGGAGAGCCGTCCTTGATGAGGGTTGGGCATGTATTTTCTTATTGAGATGCAGATGCGGAGAGAGGTTTGTCTAAGTTGGATTAGATATATAATCTAGGTGCTTCATTATGGTGTCAAGAGTCTGGCGTTGATTTTGGACTGGGTGCTTGGGTTAGGCCCAGGTTCAGGAAATAAGTTGTTGCCGTACCTCGGATGTATATTTCTGTCCATCTAGATACTTACTACTCAAACTGTGTTAGATAACTTCGCATTGCTAACACTGAAAGGGCTAGACCCAAGCACATGTCCAGTAAAAGTCAACTCAGATGAAGGGTACTAGATCGTGAGAATTCGTGAAAGCGATACGAAAAAGCCAAAAACGTTTTAATCTAACTATCCAAGGTATATGTTTATCACCTGCGTCTTCCAGCCCCGCCAACATTGTCACCCCGATCAGCAATGCTAACAACCTCTCCAATACCAGCTTCTTCCTGCTCATCCTCCAAAGCCATGACCTCTTCTCTGCTATCCCACCACTTCTCTTCCGCCATGTTAAACGCATCCTTTCGCAGCTCCTTGATGTTCTTCTCCGTGGCGATGCCCTTCTCTTTCAATGTATCCAACAGGATACGCTGCCAGTCCTCGCCTGTACGGCTGAAGTAGTCACGCAAACTTTCAAACGGACGAGGCAGAGGTCTACTGTCCTGCACAGATGGCTCTCCCTCTTGCTCCTCCACTTCCAGGTTCTCCATCTCCTGGGTGACAGAAGGCACGGTTACTTCCGTGGGGGCGGGGGAACCAGTGTCCAGCGACATCGCGTCCTCCTCTTCCTCCTCGTCTTCGAGATCCTCCTCTTCATCGTCATCCATCTCTTCGTCGCTGTCTGCTTCGTTGAGAAGGTGCCAGTTAGCGGGCTCGTTGTAGAAGATCTCCTTGACGCCATCGAGCTTGACGAGATCAATCGAGTACATGTCGTTGAAAGTGAATTCCCGATCTCCCTTCTCGAAAGTGCCGCCGAAAATGTACAGGGTATCATCCTGAACGGCCAATTGCGCGTTGAATCGCTGGTGAGGCATCTCGAAGCGCACGATCGTAGGCTTCGCTGGCTCCTCAGGCTCTTCTTCCTTGGGTGTCTCAGGCTGCAAGTCATCGTCCTCCTCGCTGCGAATGCCCTTCTTAGCCTCGAGAGCCTTCAGGTTCTGCAGGAGTTCCTCCTCGTCAGCCTTGCTGCGGTCCTTAGACTTCATCTGGTTAGCGAGCTGCTTCTTGCCTGGCGCTCTGGGCCGGCGGAGCGTCAAGGGGAAGAAACGGTTCCGGTCGGTGTTCCAGGCGAACATGGTGTCGAAGAATTCACTGTCAATGCCTTCCTCACTCAATTCAACATCATGGACACCACCGAACATGATGCCACGTCCCTTGTGGTATGCCATCGTGGCACCGGCACGGGGAGGGTTGGGAGAGTTGGCGGGCTTCTTCCGGCGCTCCCAGCGGACGGTGGGCGCAGCATTGGCAGGAGCTTCAGGGCCCGGGGGAGTAACCCGGAGGAACCAGGTGTCCTGATGCACCATGGGCTTCATGGTCATGCGTTGAGGACCACCCTTGACGGGCTTGCCGTTGATTCCCGTGGCCGCTTTCACACGGGAATATCCACCGTAGAGAACGGCACCGCTTTCGTGCGGCAGGAAGGAGAAAGAAGACCGGGGATCGGGCTTCTGGGATGCGGTTGGAAGCGTGGGGTTGAACCAAGTGTACTTGGAGCAGTCGTAGATCCACAGGTCTTGGAGATACTTGGTTTGTTGCGAGGTGTCCTGGAATCCACCGAAGAGGATAATGTAGTTCTGCCTTTTGGTCAGTTTCAATTTAGATTTCCTGGACAGGATAAAGTACAGACCTTGTAGTAAGTCATTCTGTGACCACTTCTGGCCGGGGGACCCTTGCCCTTAGAGTCCAGACGGGTCCATTCCCTTGTCGAGGGATCAAGGTGCCAGAAGTCGTTGTAGTGGTAGAACGTGCCCTGCTTGGGCGAAGAAAACTCTCCTATTGCGAACATCAGTACTCTGGAAATTCTGATAGGCTTGGTCTGAGCTATATACTTACCACCGAACAGATAGACACCTCCTGTATTGCCACCACGGCACCAAGCATGTCCACTGCGAGGGAGCGGACTATTAGGACTGGTGACTTCTCTCCACTCCGCGCGGTCGATATTGTAGACGAAGAGGTTGTTGAAGAAAGTGGCAAGATTTCCATCAAAGTACTCTCCACCAAAGACCAGCAATTCATTGCGATTAGAAGGAGAAGCCAGAACAGTTGCAGACGATCGAGGTGTCGGCGGTCCTCCCACAACCTCAGTGACCTTCATGAACTTGGCTTGTTCCTCAGCATATTGTGCAAGGATGGCGTCCAAGTCGGCATCTTCGACATCACTGTCGGCATCCTTGTTCTTGCCCTTGCCCTTCTTCTCCTTCTGAGCAGCCTTCTTGTTCTGCTTTGCCGCTACACGCTCCTTGTGCTCGGCGGACTTCTTGTTCTTCTTGCCCATGGTGGACGAGCTTGAGAGATACGGTGTGGACTTTTGGCCTTTTTGGTGGTTTCTATGAGACCGAGGGGATGATGTGGAGCTTGGATGCTCTTTTCAATTATCACCCTCTTATCGGTGGAGTTATGGAGTTGATATTCTATTTACTACAGATTCTCTCCATTCAGCGCGGGGTTTTTCTGGGCCCAGAAAAAAAATGTCGGCATGAAGCCCCTCTTATTTTACCGTGTAAAACGGATACCATAGTCTATGAGTGACCAGGCTCTCATGTATAATTGGGAGTACAGGAGGCCAAATAAGGCACATACACACATAGCATATATGTCATAAGTGCCTATTGAACCAATTTATTGACTCCAGCGTCGCCTGTGTGTGTGAGATGCCCATATGCTATGGTGTTATGCGAAGTTGATGTTTCCATGGTCTGGTATTGAAACATATTATCAAAGAAGATCACAGAGCATCATAATTCACACTGACAACAGCCAATGCTGTATAGTATCCTCTGAGACTATGCGACTATTGCAAATATTGCAGCAATTCTGTAAAGCGTCTCGTCGCATGCCACTGCCTGGACACCAACGATGCTACTCAACTTCGAAGAGGGTAAGTAATACCGAGTATCATAATTGGGAGTGGCATGGATTATCTATGTCCTCACCGCCCACGTGATGACGCGCCGAAACGCGTCCAGACAAGGCCGTGGATTAACCGGACTGAAAGCAATTGAATAGAACTAGTAGTTGCTCGGCAGCTAGTCTAGACGCCCTTTGTGATTGTTATGTTGCGACTCGTCAATGAAAATCATGCTCACAAGCATACGGCCTTATGACTAAAAACAATCTAGCAGCCCACCTCAAATGGCTGTTGCAGCAGGGCCCTGCGCTATACCCCTCCTTATCTCCGTCCGCGCACGAGTATCACAATAACACTGCCGACCGAAATCAACCTACTGCGCCGGTGCCACCAGCGGGGGCCTTAGCGCACCAGCCAGAGGATATCACCATCGCGATCGATGATTTACAACCAGAAGCCAAACCAGCAGAGACGGGCCATGTGGACGGAAAAGCGGAGGTAGATTCGGACGAAGAAATGGCGCGATTGCTTCTTACTCCGGCCTCCGCACGCAAGCCGCGGATGCTGAGTCTATCAAAGGACGCTGGCGCACCCACTCCGAAGCCTCTCAAAAGTAGTCAGTCTGTCAATTCGCCTTCGAAGGGAAGAGAGAATGGCCTGGGCAGAGTTACCAAAGGTACAGTGAAACGGCGCGCCTGTCGTTTTTGAAATCTTCTAACGACTTACTCCAATAGACAAGCAAAGTCCCCGGTCTCCATTGCGCAGCCCTAAGGCGTCCTTCTTGACACCATTTGGATTGAAGCGGCCATTGAACGCAAAGTCACCACTCTTCGATTCCGACATTGATACGATTGACTTGACTGGCGACTTGAATCAGACCACGCTTTCGTCTGATACTTTCGATGGGTTCGAGGAACCGCAACGATTGTGGACCGAAGACGCTGCATCCCGGAGAGAGCCTCTCGAAAAGCGTGGAAAGAAGCGAAAGAGCGACGAATATGTGTCAGACCTTGTTTCGCCCCGAAAGAACGGCTTGAAATCGCGCTCGCCATTGAAGGCTGCTGAGCCTACGAAGACTCCCCGTTCTACCTCGACGCGTCTTCAGCCCGAAAAATCACCTCGCACGACCAGAAAGGACACTATACCCCGAGCTGATGATCCATCGGGCCTTCCTTCGTTTTCACAGAGTTCTCGCTTGGGTCATGTTATCGCTGACTCCGATGACGACGACGGAGATGAGAATCTGTTCGATGACTGGGTTCCTGATAGAGACGGCCCAACATTGAACTCCAATGAATCACTCTACCCGATCCTACCTAATCAAGATAGCTCGGATGAGCACGCAGCTCCTAGCCCTGCGAGAAAGAAGAGTCGTGCTTCCCCACGGGCGTCGGATGCTATGGATATCGTCCCCTCCAGTGTTCGTCCATCTAGGAAGGACACCCGCATCAGTCCTAGTCCAGTCACTCATGTGCCTTCTACTACCGATTCTCCCAGCTCTCAGCCTCAGAACGAAGATGTGGCCAAGTTCTTGAGTCTTTCAGCAGACTCTCTTGAAGGAGCCATTGCAACCCTGAAGAGCACTCTTACGAAGAATTCTGAAATAGTGTATGAGCGAGCAATGAAGGGAGAACTTGCACCTGACTTGATCGCTGAAAACAAGACCCTTACGGATAGGATCGAAGCGATTGGTTTCCTCAAGCAGCAAAGGACTACCTATCAGACATATGATACGAAGAGGAACATGCTCAAGAAAAGACTCATGCAGGTTATAACACAGGGCGGCGATCCGTCCGATATGCCAGAACTTGTGGAAAGTCGAGAAGCAACAACTCAGCTGCAAAGGGCTGAATCAGATATACAACATCTGCTAGCACGATCTAGGTTGCTGTCTATTCCATCACTGGATGTCCGCCCACTTCGTTACAAGCCAGACCATCCGACCCCTTTGTCGCGCCCATCGTCTTTGTCAATCAGTGCAATGGATGACACAGTAATTTCAGGCGCCTCCTCGCGATCGAATGCACGGTCAACAGTAGACTACAACCACTCTCGTTCCGACATATCCACTCGGGTATCAGATCTGTCTTTCAAAAACACGAATGGGACCTCGAGTCTTAGGGCTTTTAACTACGATGACCCGACGACACTGGATGACGATGATGCTTTTACTCGAACTATGGGCTCCCCCACGCTACCTGCAGAAGAAGCGGATGAATTCGACTTAGATGACGAAGACATGCTGGAAGCTGCCGGGTTCCTTGATGAAGATCATGCATTCGCAACCGACAACCACGGGCTTCAGAACCGCAAGGTGTTTGCTGAAACTTCCGGAAATGTTTCGCGCACTCCCCTATCGCAACCAAAGTCCCAGGGCCATAACGCCCTCTGGAACCAGCATCCATGGTCCAAGGACGTCAGAAATGCGCTGAAAGATCGGTTTCATCTTCGTGGTTTCCGCCTCAATCAACTGGAGGCCATTGATGCGACGCTGAGCGGAAAAGACACATTCGTTCTGATGCCTACTGGAGGAGGCAAGTCTCTATGCTATCAACTACCCTCTGTTGTCACTTCAGGCTCCACAAGAGGAGTAACAATCGTGATATCCCCCTTGCTCAGTCTGATGCAGGATCAAGTCTCGCATCTGAACAAATTGAATATCAAGGCTTACTTGTTAAACGGGGAGACTCCGAAGGAGCAACGGCAATGGATTCTCAGTACGCTATCAGGCTTCTCGGCGGAGGAAGATATCGAATTGTTATACATCACCCCGGAAATGGTCAACAAAAGCCAGGCGATTACGAAAAGCTTGGATAAGCTCAATCGCAGTCGGAAGCTTGCTCGCATAGTGATCGATGAGGCGCATTGTGTCAGTCAGTGGGGACATGATTTTCGCCCTGATTATAAAGAACTGGGAGAACTCAGGAATCAGTTACCCGGAGTACCAATGATGGCGCTAACTGCGACAGCCACCGAGAACGTCAAAGTGGATGTTATCCACAACTTAAAGATGGAAGGTTGTGAAGTGTTCTCTCAGAGTTTCAACAGGCCAAACTTGACGTACGAAGTACGGATCAAAAAGAAGGGAACGGAGGTCCTGGCCAGCATAGCCGATACTATAAAGACCTCCTACGCAAACAAATCCGGCATAGTCTATTGCTTGTCGCGCAAGACATGCGAAAAGGTCGCGAGCGGTCTCCGGGATGACTATCGCATTAAAGCAGAACACTACCACGCCGGCATGGATTCAGGAGAACGTGCGAAAATTCAACAGGCTTGGCAAGCTGGAAGGACTCACGTTATAGTGGCGACGATCGCGTTCGGAATGGGCATCGACAAACCTGATGTGCGTTTTGTGATCCATCACAGCATCCCCAAGAGTCTGGAGGGATATTATCAGGAGACAGGACGGGCTGGCCGAGATGGCAAGCGGTCTGGCTGCTACCTCTATTACTGCTACAAGGACTCGAGTACTATATCTAGCATGATCGACAAGGGCGAGGGCAGCAAGCAACAGAAGAATCGGCAGCGGCAGATGCTCCACAACGTCGTACAATACTGTGAAAACAGAAGCGACTGTAGGCGAGTACAAATTCTTGCCTACTTCAACGAATATTTCCGCCGGCAAGACTGCAATGCCTCATGTGATAATTGCAAGTCCGACTCTGTCTTCGAGCTCCATGACTTTTCACAGTACGCTGCCTCTGCAATCAAGGTTGTTCGGCACTTCCAAAGCATCGAAGACAAGGTTACCTTGTCGTACTGTGTGAACATCTTCCGGGGAAGTGTGAAGAGATTCAGGTCTCCACAACACCGGCAGGCCCCTGGCTATGGCGACGGTTCGGACCTAGAGCTGGGTGAAGCAGAACGGTTGTTCCATAGACTTTTGGGCGAGGGAGCTCTTGTTGAAGAGAATGTTGTCAACGGTAGTAAATTTGCCATTCAATATATCAAGGTGGGACGGCGTGCCGCTGACTTCGAGAGTGGGCGGTGCAAACTGAAGCTTGACGTGCGAGTCTCGCCGAATGGAAAGGCCAAGAAGTCCAATTCGGGATCACGAGCTGATGGCGGCAACAAAGAGTATCAACCGCAATCTACAAACGTCTCGTCCCCTGTACAAGCGGCAAACCAACGCCGCCTATCTCGGTTCCGTTACCAAGGTGGTGCAGGCGACACCACGGATGATGACGCAGACAGTGATGGGTTCGAAAGAATCCGAATCGCCGGCAAGCCAGCACAAGAGAAGAGGCGTACTCCTGGACCGCCAATCACCCAAGATCGCCGATTTGAGCAGTTGGACCCTCTACACAAAGCGGTTGCGGAGGATTTCATGGTCTATGCCAAGAACTATTGCCAGGATGTAAGTGAACGTTCATATCGATGGTTCCATATAAGTCTCTAATAGCCAAACAGCTGGTCATGCAGAAAGGCCTCCGCAACCAACCGTTTACTGACAGCGTCCTGCGCGAGATGGTCATCGTTTTCCCCAAAGGTGAGAACCCTTTCATGATAAGTGTGAGCAGAACTAACTCATGTTCAGATATGGCGGAACTTGCCACAATTCCTGGTATCGATCGGGATAAGGTGAACCGATACGGAGGCCAGATCCTGAAGCTCGTGCGCGACACGCAGCGCCGTTATGCAGAGTTGAAGAAAGAGCAAGATGACGCTGATGGGGTGGTTCCGGATCCCAACCACCACAACGTTATTAACCTTACCAGCACCGAGGACGAGTTCAGCGATGGCGGAATCTTTACTGATCATCCTTCTACCTTCAATGTGGACGAGACTTTGTCTAGTCGCTATTTCTCTACCCAGCACACCGCTGACCTCGACTCTGACGAGGAGGATGAGGGCCCTGGAAAGTCTAGTAGACCCCGGGCTCGGAAGCGTCAAACAACCAAACGCCCTCGCCGTCAAAATGCCGCCCCTAGGTCCAGGGCAAAATCGACGGGAGCCCGCAGAAAATCCGGTGATCGTGCTGACAACCGCTCTTCTGCCCCTCGGAAAGCGACCAAAGCGAAACCCTCAACTAGTCGAATAGGGATGATGCCCATCTAATGGCTATCGGAGTGCCGAAAATTTCGGCTTTGTGATGAATTTTATGGTATATGCAGTGGCACTTACGGGCGTTGATTCCTTAATGCATGTATAGGCGTTATGCTAATGGGGATATCAAATGCTGGCATGATGACTCCATTAGGCGCTTGGCTTTTTTTTGACAGAATATATACAGCCTTCTTTCTTTTCATTATACTCTAATAAGCTATGTAACATACGGTGAATCATCATGCAATCATTCAATCGTCTAATGAGCGTCCAAAATCAATCAGTCTCAACCGTCGCGCATCACGAGGATGAAACTGGGCGACTTTAGCTCTGACCAAAAACCGCGAGGCGGCCGATTCTCGGGGCAGATCGATATAGGAGGATCCTGCCTCCAACAAAGCATTAAGTAGATTGCGCATTTCCAGAGCTGCAGCCTCTCTGCGATTAGCTGGTTGATTGTCCCCTTGCCCAGACTGGCGCGGGAGAATCTCGTCGATTCGGCGCTGTCCAGCATCTGGATTTGCTGCCTCTGGATTTTTAGGCTTCTTCGGTTTTCCATGGCTCGTATAGCCTAGTTGCAAGGTCGCATCCGAGACCTGGGCGGTGTCACCCACCGTGGGGCCGCCGAGGGCTTCAGCAGCAAGCATGGACGCGAGGGTTTCGTCCACAAAATTATACAGGGCGGTCTTCATCTCCTCTGTTGCTTGGTCAAGCTCTTTCTGCTTTTCTTCTTCTTGCGCCGCTAGTTCACGCGCTAGCTGGGAAGCGGTCTTCTTCTCCTTGGTCGTCTTCTCGCTGCTTATGGTCTGGATCCGCTTTCGCAGACCATCCCGGATCACTTGAGCGTCTCGGAGATTCGCCTCCTCTGCTTTCAAACGCTGGCGGCTGGATGAGATATTCTCTGCTGTCATGGAGACAGAAACCTTGGTTTCTTTGACTAGACGCGATGTCTCTTCGAGTGCTAGCAAAGAAGGTAGGGGTGAGCCTGAGGCTGGGAACTCGGTCTCTGATTTCAGAAGCGAGTCGTAGGCTCTCTTGGCTCTCTGTACTTGGGCTACGCGCGACCAAGTATCTGTGCCTATTTTGGAGAGATCGAAGGAGTTGACCTCGCGCAGCTGGGCGATGTGTTAGGAGTTGGGTTACATGTTTGGGATGTATACGGGGGAGAGTTCTCCAGGGGTGGGTACATACCCTACGCAGGTCATCTTCTTGGCGTTTGACTTGATCCTGAAGTTCTTTTAGAGTCTCGTCCAATTTTCTATTGTACGCCTGTAGAACTGCTGGATTGATTTCTTGGTTCTCGTAGAAGTCCTCGGCGCGTTGACGCTTCTCTGCGAAACGCTGGACTTTTTCGACGGTTTCCTGTGACACGTCCATTGCAAATGGGTTTGAGTAAATTAAATAAATGTGCCTCTAATTTTAGTCCTCGCTATGCATCCAGTTGTCTCACAAGCCAACTAAACGAGGGGATTTGTATAGACGAATGAGGGATTGGCAGGTGTTTTGCAGGCCGGGAACACGTGAGGGATGTTCCGGAAAGGGGATAGCGCGGGAAGAGCGAGGATGCGCGACTGAACCTCAACTCAACCTTAACGTCGCTTCTCCCTCTTCGTCCTTCACCGCGACAAGCTCGACTTCCTTCACCCATCCACTTCCCCTCTTATCCCCCTTTTGATCATCGCGCGTTTACTCGCCACCTCTATTTTTAACCTGTCGCTGTCGTCTCATCGACCTCTCGTCTCTCCCACGTCTGCTATTTCAGCGTACCTGGGGTGATCGTGTAGAAGACCCGCCCGTCCTCAACGTCTCTCGACCCACGTCGCGTCTTCCAAAGGCAAGAAAAAGGATAGTTTGGGCGTCGGATACTGCTAAAAAGGCCTCGTTTTTACTTCTCGTTTTCTTTTTACTCCTCTCCCTTCCACGCTTCCCTCCGCCTTCCAACCCATTCGGACCCTGAGCACATCTTCGTCCACCGTCCAGCACCCAATCTCTCCTGCCCTCGTGCCCGACCCGATTGGTTTCCATTTTTCCTTCTTCCCTCTACCTTGCACTGCTTCACTCTGAAGCTTTCTCGCTCCAAGTCCAACCTTCAAGGCCTCGTGGCAACCCCAGACCTTTTCACACTTTCCTCGTCGGCTCTCCTTTCACAGCATCACTTCCCGCACTGTGCACGAGTTCACCAATCTTCCCACATCCTTCCAAGCACCAGAATTCCCTCTCCATCCGATCGCCAGCACCAGCAAGTTTTATTGGGAACTCCTGGTGTACATAGTCGATCAAATAAAGCTGCAGTGAAAAGAAAAGAAGAGCTGTTCTGAAAAAGAAGTGAAATCTCACTTGGACACGTCCTGCGTAAGTGAAGCAAGCACAGAAATACACGCACAGTTTAGGCAAGCAAATCATCATGTCTGCCTCTCCGTCTGCGTTGCAATCGACCAAGCGTCCCTTGGAGGACCCTTCCTCTCCCTCCGGTCCTAATGACCAGCCGGAAGCCAAGCGTCCTGCGTTGGACAAAGTAGTAAAGGGCGATGAGTCCGAGGCGTATGCCGATGTGAAGACGGATGCGCCGGCTGCGACTGCTGATGGCCAGGGCGACACCGTGGTCCCCGATGCTCCTAACTCCAAGGGCGCTCAGGAGACACAACCCATCCAGTCGACGGCCTCTCACGCCGAGTCGACCGGTGCCCAATCTGAGCAACACCGTCCCCAGGATGAGTCTAGCTGGATTCACATCCGGGCTGTAATCTCCAGCCAGGAGGCTGCCACCGTCATCGGTAAGGGTGGGGAGAACGTATCCCAGATCCGTCGTCTGTCCGGCGCCAAGTGCACCGTCAGCGACTACTCCCGTGGTGCCGTTGAGCGTATCTTGACCGTTAGCGGCCCCCAGGATGCTGCTGCGAAGGTGAGTTTGAACACGATACAGTTCGATTTCTTTTTATGTCTGCTAACCCGGATGCTAGGCCTTCGGTCTTATCATTCGTACCTTGAACAACGAGCCCCTTGATGCCCCTTCTACTGCCCAATCCAAGACATACCCCTTGCGTTTGTTGATTCCCCATATTCTCATTGGCTCGATCATTGGCAAGGGTGGGAGCCGTATTCGAGAGATCCAGGACGCCTCTGGTGCACGTCTCAACGCTTCTGATGCCTGCCTTCCCCTGTCCACTGAACGGTCCCTTGTTATCCTCGGTGTTGCTGACGCAGTGCACATCGCTACTTACTACGTTGCCGTGACCCTCGTCGAGCAGCTGACAGAACGCTTCGGCGGCCCCGCCGCCTCGGCCTATGCCACTCGCAGCGGCGGTCCGGCTGGCGCTGTGCCCGGCGGCATGCAGGTTGTGCCGTACGTGCCTCAGCCCGCTGGTGGGCAGTACGGCCATCCCGACACCTTCAAGCGTCACCACCCTCACCCCAACCGTGGCGCAGCTGGCGGCTATGGTGTTCCCTACCTCCAGGGCCCCGCCGCGCAAACTCCTGTAGCTCAGCCCTCGATGCCCTACGGTGCTACTCCCCACACCCCGTATGCCGGCGCTGGTCCCCACCAGCCCGCGCCCTACGGTGCGCCTCAGGCGGCCGCCGCACAGGCTCGTGGTGGGCCGACACCTGCCGCTCCCGTCGGCGGTGTCATGCCCGGCCAGCCACTGACTCAGCAGATCTACATCCCCAACGACATGGTTGGCGCCATCATTGGAAAGGGAGGAGCCAAGATCAACGAGATCCGGCACCTGAGTGGCAGTGTTATTAAGATCAACGAGCCCCAGGAGAACAGCAACGAGCGTCTGGTCACGATCACCGGTACCCAGGAGTGCAACCAGATGGCGCTCTACATGCTCTACTCGAGACTTGGTTAGTATCCCTCCATTGCATCTCACCCCATATATGACAAGTGACCCATTCTAACGATCCCATAGAAAGCGAGAAGCATCGGATCTAGGCTAAGTGAATTCATTCTGTTTCTGTTCCCACCGACGAATCGGTTTGCTTGCTGTCTTTTTGCTTTGCGACAACTCCCAAAAGTCGTCGTCCGTTCTTATCCCGGTGGCTCTGATGGTTTGGTTTGGGTCTTTCGTCACTATATTCTTTTGTTTCTTTCGGGGGTCTGCGCGTTTTGCTTTTTATTTCCCTCAATTTCTTTTGTGTGTACTGTATTTATTTGGAAAAGCGCTGTCCAACTAATAATACCTTTCCCCATAACCCGTCCCCAACCTCCACACTACATTACACATACACAACCTATACACCCTATATATGACCCATTAAAATCACTCCACCTTCTGAAACCTCACATGCCTCATAATCCCAAACCCTCCCTCCCCCTTCTCCACATCCCCTCCATCCCCCTTCAACATCCACTCCCTAATCGGCCCAATCCCCCTCCCAAACGCCTCCGTCCCCTTAATCTCCATATGCGCCTCCACGCTCTCCCACCCCGCCAACACCACCATCCCAAACGCCTCCCCGCTCGGACTATCCCCATGCTTCCGCGTCCCAGGCCGTTCCACCTGCCCCATGACCAACCCTCGAGGCCGTTTCCCTTCCTCGAGATTCTCCACCAGCTCGGTCCGGAACGCCACGAGGCTCTCGTGCAGTTTCTTCTTCTCGTCCGCGGACATGGAGGTCGGGAACCACGGCGTGAAGATCTCGGTTACGGGCGAGGCGGATAGATCGTGGGTTTTGTGCGCTGGAGGGGGAGGGGAGAGGGTTGCGTAGAAGGTGGTTAATGGGGTGGATGGGGAAAGGTAGGGTGTTAGGGAGGGAGTGAGGGTTGGGGAGGTTTGGGCGTCTTTCCAGTCTGTTTTATTATTTCATTTCCGTGTTAGTTGGGTTGGGTTGGGTTGGGGTATGTGGTCATGTATGGATGTCGTTATAGATAGAGATATATAGAGGAGTAGAAAGGGAAAGGTATAGAGCTTGTGTCTTTGGGGGACCAGGGAGGGAAACGCACAAATAACCCAAACAACCACATTCTCATCTTCAATTGAGCGACCCCAAGAGGACCCTAGGTATCCGTTCTGGTGTTTGGTGTTTTTGAAGAGCTCTAGGAGCGAAGCGCCGGCTTCATTGTTGGTGGGGTCTTCGGGTTTGATGGCGGGGTTGAGGTGGAAAAAGATGAATTCGGTGACGCCGGACATTTTTCTCTTTCTCTTTCCTCGTTTGTTTAGCCTTGCTATTACTGGTTTGTGTTGGATTTTTTAGAGGGTAAGCTAGAAGGAGGGATTTGTAGCTGGTGGTGCTGGAGAAGAGAGGGGGTTTATAGTAAGCAGTAGTAGGCAAGCTTGAGCTCGGGGAAAGAAAGTTTAAAATGATAAGAAACAAAGAAAGAAAGAGGAGTTGGGTTGATGTCACTGCCGCATGATGTCAGTGGTTGGTTGGTTTATTTGATGCCTTAGGCATGATATACGAACTATACAGTAACATGTGCTAGTATGCAGTGGCAGTGAACATCACTCATTAGTTTAAGGATGAATCGGATCTATGTACATAATAACGCTACCAACATCCAATGGCCGGACCCGCTGTTTTTTCATGGTTCAAGAACTCATAGTCAAGGGAAAAACAGAATAGTAATAGAAAAGCAGCTAATCCTACAGATCATCCACTCCGCGCACCTTGGACTTCTTCTCTCCAATTGCCTTCTTCAGACTGCCCACAATATGCTGCCGGCGTTGCCGCTTCGTCTTCCACTGCGCACTCTCCTCCCGCGTGACGAGCTCTCCGACTCCTTCCACTTCGCGAAGCCGACTAGCCCGCGCTGAGCCGTTGATGCTGGATCGGAAGCCTCGTGTAGCAGAGTCCGGTGTATGGTATGCGCTGTTGGGTCCGTCGGATCCGGGGGTGGTTGGGAATCGCCCCATGCCCTTTCGCGGGGTTGTGAAGGGTGAGCCTTCCCGGCTGGCTGCTGCCGGGGCTGAGGCGTCGATGCCTAGTTTCTTCAGCTGCATCTCTAGGACATCAATGTCGCTGCGTTTGCTTTCGGCCATGTTGGTCATCGTAGCAATCGTAGACGTGACGGCTTCCACGGTCGGCCGCCTCATAGCTTGCCGGGAGCCAGTGCCATCGGGACGAGGAGCGTCAGCTATCTTGGCGCGAAGGAGGGACACTGCCGACTCGAGATCCGCCAGCTTGGCCTGAATGTCAGTCGAGGCAGTGCGGAGATCTTGCTGCAGGTTCGCCTGCTCTGCTGAAAGAGGCGCAGAGATGATAGCTGCTGCATCGGTGTGGGCATCAAGAGTCTTCCGGATGCTCGCGCACTGGCCCCGAAGCGTCAGAATATCCTTGCTCAGGAGCTCTTGGCAGGCCTTCAGCTTGTCCTCGACCCCTTGCACCCGCTGCTGTTCGAGAGAGCCGGCAAGCATGACAACAGCATCGTCCAGTTTCTCGATATCGCAGAGCAGTAGCTTCTCGTCAAGGATAGCAGCTGGGTGTTCCTTGTTCAATAGCTCGACCCAATCACCACTTTGCGATTGCTTCTGGTACAAAACAAACGAGGCCAGTGACCGAGCATTGATGCCCAGTGTGTCAACCATGGAGTTGATGTCCCGGTATAGTCGCTCGATCTGGCCAGGAATACCAGGCTTGCTGGTCTCTCCGGCATAATCCTGGTGAGGCAGGAAAGGATCCAGCGTCGGAACAGGCTCCAGAGGTCGGGCGAGATCTGCACGCAGCCTCTCGTCCTCATCGTCGTCCGAAAGAGCCTGAGCTTCCTCTTCCATTTGCTTGGCCTTGAGGTCCACGGGAGACTTCTCCTTCTGAACAACCTGCGGTTTCAGGAGATTCTCACGCTTGACGGCCTCGGTGAGGGAAGCCTTGCGTGCAGCAAGAGTGCTTCCTGGAGCCTGTGCAGCATTGGGCTTCTGCCCCCCTATCTTGAATCGGTTCTTCTGAAGACCACTCCGTACGGGACTGGGCGACCTTGGAGGCTCCCGAGTTTGGAATGTCGGGAACTTTCCAATCTCCCCAAACAAGGACCGCTGTGCCGGGGGTTGAGAGGGTGCAGGTTTAGCAGCTTGCGAGAACAAGCCACCCTTAGTCCCGAACTTGAAGGCACCGTCGGGAGTGGCCTCTGGACTCGCCTCTGCCGACTCTGGTTCGCTGATATCTCGGGAGACTTCTTCACCGCTATCTCCAAAATCAGACTCGTCGCCCTCCTCTTCTTCCTCTTCCGCTTCTTCCTCGCCTTCCTCACTCTCCTCTCTTCCAGACTCATCGGCATCGGATTCGTCAGGTACTGGACCAGGCTCTTCCTGCGATGCTGGTGGCTTCCACGTAGCTGGATCTGGAGGCAACGGCGCCTCTTCAGCTTCAGCCTCGTCCACTTCTTCTTCTTCGTCTACCTCTTCAGGAAGCTTCTTCGCGAAATCCGGGGGTAAAGGTGGCTCTCCTCCGACATCTGCCGCGGCAGGTTTCGCCTTGACAGTGAAGTCGGGAGGAAGAGGAGCGTCATCAACGGAACTCTTAGACACATTGGACGATGCCGAAGTATCGCCCGGCCCGTACGAAGCCTTGCTGGTGGGGTCAGGGGGGAGAGGGGTTTGGATACTGGAGGCAAGGGGGGTGCGATGGGCGTCTTCAGAAGGCGTCTTAGCTGAGGGTGGTGTAGCAGCTGTGGTCTTTTCAGAGGGGGTAGCTAGCGGGCTTGATGTGGGCTTAGCAGGTGAAGCATTGCCGAACAACGAGAATGGAGACTTGGTAGTAGCCTGGGGCTGGCCGAAAGGATTGGCCGGCTGCTGACCAAAGGGATTAGGAGGCTGCGGCTTGGAGCCGAAAAGGGAGGTCGGTGCAGCGATTTCGGTCTTGGAGGGCGCTCCGAAAATAGATGGCGCCGGTCCCTTGGATTCAGGCTCTTTGGACTCAGGCTTCTGCGGAGGCGCAGGTTCGTCGTCCATATCATCCATTGACTCGGTTGGTGGGCTAGTCTTGTTGCTGCTAGATACCATGTCGTCCATGGATTCGCCAAATGAGAATAGTCCTGAAGGCTTATCTGGCTTAGGCCCATCGTTGACCGCAGTACCGTCGCCCTTGAACGTAGATCCTAACACGAAGCCACTAGAGCTTTGTCCAAAAGCGCTCTTTGTCTCGCCCGAGGTTGGGGGAGGAAACGCAGTGTCAGTTTCGGTCTTAGCACCAAACGGCGACGGCACAGACGATTTCGCAAACGCGCTCTCTCCAGACATTTTAGCGAAGGGTGATTCGGTGGTGGTTTTTGACGCCGCAAAGCCAGCAAACCCTCCTCCAGAAGAGTTTGCGAAGGAGCCAAATCCTCCTCCTGTACTAGTAGTCGAGGCTCCAAACAGACTCTTACCCGGTGTTGACGGTTGTCCAAAACCTGACCCGCCGCCCAGTGCGCCGAAGCCGGACTTACCGAATTGGGGTGATGCAGTTCCCAAGGCACTAGGAGCGCCAAAGGAGGCCCCCGGCTGTGATGGGGTGCCGAAAGAAGGTGCGCCAAACGATGTCTTTCCGAAGGCCGGCGGCTGCTGGCTGGCACCCAAAGTGGAAGTACTACCAAATGCCGGTGCAGCTGACGGTTTGCCAAAAGGGGATGCTCCTAGCGGAGATGGGCTACCGAAAGCTGATTGTCCGAACGCAGGCTGCGCAGGGGGCTGAGATTGTACTGACTGTGCTGGCGGTGCCGGCTGCTGCTGTTGAGCCTCTGATGCCAGACCGTGGTAAGGAATTTTTTGACGGACTGATTCGTTGTAGACGAACCACCAAGAGGACAGGATACCCTCGTTATTGAGGAGTAGCAGGTTCGGCAGCGGCGTTGAACTCTCAGCAATATCCTCGCCAGCGATCGGAGCCACGACATTCTCAGTGCTCGATAGGTCAAAGCCTAAACCGATCACAGAGGTTTCTTCCGTGGAGTCTTTTAGCGGGAGGGAAGCTCTCTTGGTGTCATCGTTCACTTCGGTCGTAACAAAGAGCCCGGTAGTAGCCTTGGCGGCATCATCACTGGCCAGCGGTTGATCCGCTCTCGTGATCAAGCATACGTCGGTCGAAGCGGTGGAGGATACAACAAGGACATCCTTCAAATGCGGTTTGTAGTCTCGGAGACGCGCGAGGAACTGGTAGGCAGGGGCGCGCTTGAAGCCAAATGGCATGCACAATTCCGGCAATTTCTGGATCAAGAAAGGCGCATTCTTCCTCCTGGTGATAATATAGTAAGGCGAAGATGGTGTCTGGCCCATATCATCCTCCACAGCATTCGATGTGTAGACCATCAAGAAGACGTCATTCTCAAGCCAGGCGATAGAGGACACTGCACAGGTTAGAATTTGGGGAAACTTTGAAAACGCGAACGCGGTACGCACCGTGATGGTTATCCTCCAGATCAGGAGGACGCGGAATGATATCCTTCTGGGCACCATCTGGAGCCATTTGGAATCCAGTGCCATCCGCCAGTCCTGCCACGAGCTGCTTGCCCTTGTTACTCCAGCAAACTGTGCTGACCCCCGATTTCAACACCTGGCCATTGGGACCCGAGAGCAGGTTTCCGGCTTTCAGATCGGCTATGAGGAGGTCGCCCCCGGTTGTGACAAGCGCAACAAGGGATGAGTGCGAGTCGTCCGACTGTGCGGGATTGGGGGCAAGGAAGCGAAAGGTGGCTCCGTTCGTCGGGATAGACAAAGCCGGTTGCGCATTCCCTTGCAAGAGACTTGCCGTCTCAAACACCGAGAGCTGTGTACCATTCTCTGTCGCCAGTACTAGGGCGCTATCGCCTGAGGCAAAAGTGATATGGGTGGGCCGAGCGGGAAGAGGTATCGTTGCGCGCGGCTGGAAGGGCTTGGTCTTGACCTTCTCATCTCCTGTGGGCGCGGAGATAGCGGTTCTTATGTCGTTAGAGGAGGCAATATAAAGGGCGTCTGGCCCAGCACCGACAACAACGCCTTTTGTTGCTGCGACAGCGAGAAGGGAGCTCGTAGGGCTAGGAAGGGAATCTTCGGGCCAGGGAGTATTCAGTAATCGAACGTTGCTATCGCTGGACACGCCTTTGAACCCGACTTCCTACAATGATTGTCCATCATGTCAGCTCAAAATCGATTCAAACCCTTAGCGCCATTGCGACATACATCTGCAAAAACATCGGGAAGCTCGGGGCCCAATTCAGCGGCACCCCCAGCGGGGTTGGAAG